GAAAGTTCCTAACTCATCCTAAGAAAGGAAATTCTGAAGAAAGAAAGCACAGAAACAATAACCAAGATTTTCATGACCTAGCATTGCTCCTCCTTCTACAGACTAAATTTTATAATACTGAAAGCTAAGAATTTTATCTTAAAATAAGACTTCAATATTATGCTTTCAATTTTAGCTTTCAAATTCAAACCCAACTGAAAACACAAATAAAGAATAAAAATATTTGCATCCTGTAACTTTCCCTTTCTCATTGCAGTCCCTGGCACAGGGATCATCGCTGTGCAGGGCTGGGAGTTTATGAAGGGCTCTGTTACCACCAGAAAGGCATCACTGGCAATTTAATGACTGTGCAATCAGTGGACCAACTTCTGATCAGAAACTGAACCCAAGGTTGCTTTGGTGTCCTAAACCAAAAGGAGAGCAATTCCACCAAAGGAGGGGAAACTGCTTTAGGCATCCAGCAGCACTACATTCAGACTATGACCTGGTGGCACAAGCTATATCCTATCAGAAATCAGCTTGCTTGTCATGCTTTTGAACTTCACTCAGAGTCAGATATTTTGTCTTAGTCATAACATATATAGGTCCTTTTTCTGTTACTCACTGACAGCAGCTCACTGAATAGATTTCTGTAGCTCCCTTGTGCACTGAGAAAAGTTACTGTTATACATACTAATGGTTTTTAAAGGGCTTCATTTTTCCAACTACGCAGTAGCTCAAAGGATTTATTACAATATATGAAAATTTCTTTCAGGTTGTGATTATAACTGGAGTGAAAAATTATTTTAAAACCTGTAAAAATAAACAAAACGACGGTAACCTATGTCTATACTACAGCTGAAGTTCTGACTGCTGTTCATCCAAGGATTCCCATTTACTACAAAGAAACCATCTAAGTTCTGCCATTGATGTGTCATCACAGCCTGCATTCAGCATTGATTGCAGAATTTACAAATGGGCTGGGTTGCCAGGTTTTTCTTGGTGCATAAGCTAGTTTACACCTCAGAGAGCATGGCATAATCATAGTGAAATGATGGGCCAAGCATTCAGTTTCAGTCTGGTTGACATGTTTAAGATTAAGACAGATGATGAAAAATGAAGAGCAAAAAGGAAATTCCGACGAGGAGGAACTCATTCTGCTTTCTTCTTCTCTAGAATTAAGAGACTGAACACTTGTCTCAACAGCAGAGATGAGGGAGCTCTTATATTTCAAGTTGCAATATGCAGAAAAGAAATTTAACTTTACCAGGGAAACCCTGAGGCTACAAAATCTCATTTTTAATTATAAGAAACAATAGCTTTTCTGATAAGAATAAGACACTGAACTTAAAACTGAGACAGCAACATAGGTAGCTTGTATAGTCTATCACCAAACTTGAGCCCAACGTGACAAGCTTAGTAAAGCGTGTCAGCCTTTACACTACATGCCCTGATTTTTACCCATTTGTCATCAACTTAAGGTTATCCAAAGTGCCATTTTAATCCTTTCTTTTCTTCTGATAACATTGTATTACAATGAAACGTTAATGGGAACAAACCTAAAATTAAAACAATGGAAGACAGTAGCTGCACTGTCCTGCTTTTGAGGGCTCTGAACAAACGCATAAATAGTGGACACCAGAGATGCCCAGTGGGAAAGCACAAAATTATAGGTGTGAAAGAATACTGGAGGGAGGTGTTCTCAAACTTGAAAACCAATGAGCAGCAGAATATTTTTTTTCAAAATGGCTGGTTAAAGAGCCTACATTTACTTTTCCACACAGAAAACTGGCACTTGTGGATTACAGTCATGTAGATACACTGTTAAAACTGTGCCAAACTGACTTGGCAGCTTTAAAGGTTTTGCAAACCACTTTTTCTCTCAGCTTTTTGAATATATAGCAACTTCTCTGGAGTTTTTTGAATGCAGACATCGGACTCCTCTAATAGGAACGGTACAAGAGTTACTCTGTTAGAAAGATGAAATAGTACCATTTAGAAACAATAGAAGTATTTAAAACTATGTCAAACATAGCTTACATCTGCTCCTCATACAAAACTGTAATAGGACTCACTGGCACATTTACAAATTTTGTTTAGAAAGAACAATCACAATGTGGGGGACACAATTGCATAATGGGAAAATTTACTACTAGTTGTGAAATAAATAAAAATGCAAAAAGGGTCACAGAAATATTTTTCCTACTCCACACATACTGTTAATAATTCATTTCCTAACTGCTCCTAATTTAGGGAAACGGGTAGTTGCTAATCCAATGACACCATGAATCTGGCTATCAAATCAACCTATATTTCATAAAAGAGGCTATTAAAGGTTATTTAGGAACTCATTAAAGACAACTGCTAGAATTTATAATGTTATTCTAATAAAATATTCTGTTGACTCAGGGAATTTCTTAGTCCTTGTGGTTTCAACTATTCTGATCACTGTACAAAATGTAGGCACCTGTCTCCTTCCTAAAGCTTTTATGTAATTCCTTTATCAAGTGGACAAAAATGTGGAAAATAGATATGGATATGTTTTCAATGAATTTCATACCGTCCCTTCAAGATTTAACTTTCCTGTGATCTAGGATATGTCTATAAATAAGACCCCCAAATAAGCCATAAATAAAATAACCCTGGGCAGAACAACATATTCAGTAGATGATAAGAAAGAATGATAGCAACAATGGTTTTGAAATCTCCCTTTTTAAGCACAGATTTATAGCTGCAATATAGATTTGCCTGTGTAGCTTTCCATAAAATAGTTTAATCTTAAATACATTTTTTAAAAAAGATAAGGCTTTTACTAATTAGTAGGTTTGTAGAAATAGAGAGAGTTGTCCCTGTGTTGTACAATAATGGAATTGAGATTACAGGTTTTGTAGACTGTACAATAAAAATCAAACAAGATTCAAGTGAACACAATGAAACCCCATTTACAATCAAGCCTGAAAGTGTTTTAGTCCCGTTTAGTGAGTTTGCTTTAATTCCACTAGAATCTAGGCAAATATTTTATTTAAAAATTAATTAATATGATATTGATTTTATGAAACAAACTCAAACCTCACTCTTTACTCTATACAGTCTTCTTTTCCAGAAGTTAAATTTCTGAAAGTATATTCACAGAAACTCTAATTTCTTTTAAAATAAAAAAAAAAGAAAGAAACAAATTCTAAAATCAAAATGCTTAGACTCAGAAAACTCTCACTGAAAAAAATTTTTTGTGAGTCAATAAATAAGAGAAAAGAAAAAAATGTAATATGTCACCTAAGACTCCAAGGAGACCAGAAAATAAAAACCTGTGAATTTATTAAGGCTGACATTTATTGTATATTTTTGCTAAATTTTCAAAATTATTTGGAGAACTTATTAGTATTGGATACACTTCAAAAACTCATGTCATGATTATGAAAAAATAGCAAACATCCCCACCCCATTAAGATTGCAAGTAAATAGGGTAAGATATTTTCTTCAAATTACTAAATTGGGGGATGAAAGTTCTGTGCTTAGACATTTGCCTACAAAAGACTCAAATATTTATATTAGCAGATAGTAAATGTCCCAATTCAGCAGCATGCTTATTTAGCAAATTATTGTGTGAATTATTTTCATGCCAGCAATATTTTGTTTTCTAATCATTGTCTTAAAGTACACACTTAAGCAGTCTTCTAAATAGAATGGCTGTGTGGAATGCTGTGGTAACCACTGGAGACTTAAAAATAATTTATGAGAGTTTGTCTCAATTGCACCTATAAATTCATTGGTCCCTGAATGAAGCCAAAGAGAGAAGTGTTTAATAGAATTTTCTATAAACTGTTGCTTTCGTGGATTTTCAACAGGTACTGTTTTATGCCTGTGTAAAGGACAATGATAAAACCTGTCAAGATGAAAGTATAAATTCACACCAAAATCCTTGTTGGGTTTGTTTTTCATTAACCTTGCTGCATTAGTTTATTTTCTGCCTGAAATGACTTGTGCTCACAGAAGTACTTTTTTCATCATGAGTGCTGGTTTATAAACAGACCTTGTTACAGGACATTAGTATGGAAGTGCAGAGACAAACCTAGCTATTAATTCATTATATATTAATTAGCTTAACAACTTCATCAGCATAACCATTGTCATCCAAGTCGCGAAACTCCAGGCTGAAAAATTTGAACCAGTAGAAGATTATAATAAAATAGGTACAATAACTGTAGTGGGGATATTTATATTTATTCTCCTTGTGGCATAAAATGTTTGTGAAAATCTTCTGAAAACAAAATGATAGCATTACATTTTAGTCTCTTGGAATATTAATAATTTTAATTTTAGAAAACAAAGCAGAAATACACTGTGGCAGTGTACTACTGGTATTTCATATGCATTTGAACAATAAATTACCAAAGTTCTCATAAATTAGGTTAGCTGGGAAGTAATATACAAGAATAAAACTATGTAGATCTTTCATTATTGCACACAATTAAAAGGGGTACAGTTAAAGCTGCTCTGTCAAGAGGGATATACGAATGCTATCTTTTCCCATTTAAATGGGGTTTCTACTCTTTAAAATATTCCTGACGTGCACCAAAATACCTAGAATTCCTTTTAAATAGAACAATAGGACATTTAAAACTTGAAATTCTGTACTATAGGGTTGGAGGTGGTCAGAAAAGGCCTAGGCATCCAATGAAATACACAATAACTCCCTTATTTCCAGAGGGCCTGTAATGTGTTCATAGTGAGCAGTACCTTTTCCATTGCGACTGATATGAAAGAGAGAGGAAGCAATTTTTCACTCTGTATCAACTCAGAGATGACAGAGGCCCAGAAATTACAAAGAAATGTTTCATAGTATACATGCTTACAAATTCCCAAACATCTTAGGTAAGGGGATTTTGTATCAAAGTAAATGTGAATTTTCCACTAAAAAATAATTTAAAGTGAGAAAAAAGGAATTTTGCCTGAGTGTGGGTTATATAATCACTCTTTCAAAAACTGTATTAGAACTCCATAAAATAATTTGCACTTTTTACCGTAATTTTGATCGGCTTCAATTTCCATATGTGTTTTTTTCCCCATTTAAGACATTGGCACTGCTTCTTACTTGAAATAACATAGTGAAATTGGAAGAAGAATTACAATAATTAGAAGTTATGACACTTATATACCTAGAGTATCACGTAGAATCAGTTCCTGCCTACTGTTAAAATTCATCTGTTAAAAATATTAACTGAAAAGAACTCTTGGTCCTGGTAACACATATTTACATTTATATTTTTGCCTTTCAGTTTGAGCCTTGACTATGTTAAATGCCTAATTGATTTTTTTCTTAAATATTTTCATGATTTATCAGTAATGATGTCCAGTCCAGGAATTTCCTGGCAGTTAACAACCATATAGAACAAAAGTCTTCACTTAAGAGTTCATTAGTACTTCAGTATTTTTAGGAGTCTTTCAAAGTGTTCTTATATTTCAGGATTTTTCTGACTCTGGTATGTCTTTCTTTCATGAATGTAACGGCCTGTGGATGGACGGACATCTTGAGAACTGTTGGTGAATATTCCCAATAGTTGGAGTTGATGATCCTTCTGGGTCCCTTCCAACTCTGGTTATTCTATGATTTTAATTCTCTTTTTTTTCTGTTGAATTTTAATTAATTTAAGGGAAAATAGTGGGCATTCACACTTTCATTACTCATTTATGTTCCTCTTAATCATTTGTGTAGTTCTAAAACTGAGAGGATCCCTTGTGGTGGGCTGGAGCAGAATCCTGGCAGGTTTGATGAACTTGCTTTATGAAAAAGGCGTATCACATCACTGAATGGAAGAGGAAGGGGCACTTAAACAGCTGCTACTAAGGCAATAAAACTAAGCTATTGGATTCAAGACAACAGTTAGACCCACGCTTTGTCTTTATTGGGATTGATGATGAACCATTTAGAGAGGCAATCCAATCATATTGCAGTGAAAGTGTATGATGCTGTAATTTTATCATTTGCATGGCCTCATTTAAATTAGTAATATTTTTCAGGTACAGTAGGAAATTGGAGCTATATCTTCTTCATAATTTCTATATTCATTAACAGTAATGAATAGGTGTTATAGAATAACATTAAAGGAATGCATTTAGCAAAAGAAAACCAAAGATATACTGTCTGGTTCCAAAGGACTGCATGCACTTCTGCCTTGACACACATCAGTATGTTACTATTCTCATTAAAACTTGTTAGGTAACAGTGATGAAGGAGACTTTTTATGTCTTATCCAGAATGTATTTCATAGAATCACACAATCAATAAGGGTGGAAAAGAACCCTAAGAACATTGAGTCCAACCATTAACCCAGCACTTCAAGTTTACCACTAAACCATGTCTTTAAGTACCACATCCACATGTTTTTTGAATGCTTCCAGGGATAGTGATTCCACCACTTCCCTGATCAGCCTGTTCCAATGCTTAGTTGCCCCTTCAGTGAAGGATTTTTTCCTAATATCCTGTCTATACCTCCGCTTGGTGCAACTTCAAGCTGTTTCCTGTTGTCCTATTATTTGGTCTCTGGGAGAAAAGACTGAGCCCCACCTTGCTCTTTCAGGTAATTGTAGAGAGCAATAAGGTCGACTCCTTTTCTCCAGGATAAACAACCCCAGCTGCCTCACCCACTCCTCATAAGACTTGTGCTCCAGACTCTTTACCAGTTTCTTTGCCTTTCTTTGGAGACACCGAACAACTGAAGACTGGAGACTCAGCACAGGCCCAGCCACATGAATGCATATGTTTCATAGCTTTCAGCTGCCTTAGTACACTTTGTCCAAATGAGCAGTGACTGTCACGCATACATCTGCCATGTATTACCCATACTGTCTGATGAAGACAATACTGAAAAGAGCATCTATCCTGAGATGTGCTGATTGTGCAGGACTAACCTGATGGAGGGGTCTGCGTGGCACTCCACCTGCACGGGAAAATGCAATGTTTGTGTCCTGCTTTGAAAAGATGTTTCCTTCTTGAGTGTTCTTGATAATTAGTATTTCACCTGATATATTGTAATGAGCTCTTATTTCCCAGATATGCTGCTCTGAGCTCAGTTAACACTATAAGTCAGATTTCACGGATAGAGAAACTAAAGCTGGGAGTAAGTTAAGGGGCCTGTACAAAGCCAATTGAGAAGTAATAGACAGGATACTACTGTAATGAAACATCTCAAGCAGCAAGATAGGCAGAGTTGAGGGGTCACATAGAGCCCAGGTCCAGGACATAAAAGCTGGGATAAGCTGGGATAAGCTATTTCAGACATGGGTCTAGATAATATAACCTGAGCAGCCTAGCCATTTGGACTGCCTTCTGTGGGCTCCTAGGTCTTATTTATCATTGATAGGGCAATGAATGACTTTTACTCGATTAAGGGAAAAGGAAGGAAGTTGCATGGGTACCTTTGTCTCATCCCAATTTTTCCTCTCCTTGCATTAGACCTTAATGATTTTTTAAACCTGTGCTTTCATTCTATAAAAAAGGTACCTTCAATCTAAAGGATACTTAAAGTCTTCACAGAGAAGATATTATATAAGTCATTATTGGAACAGTGGTTAGCTAAATAAGGAAGAAAAACTTAGCAACTCAAAATGGCAATTCATCATCAAGTGTCTGCTGCTTTATGTGCTAACAGCCTTTCTCAGCTTCCTTTAAGCCATCTGCTTGTTTCAGCTATCTCTCCATACCACCAACCTCTCCCATTGCACCCCTCTGCAACTCACACATTTGCTCATCACTACTCAGACTACTCAGAGTTTGTGTTTTACCTTCTAGACACTCTTGCCTTTTTCCATAAACATATTTGTTCTACCAGGTAGAAGTATCAGCTGATGCTGCTTATGGAGGAGAACAAACATGTGTTAGTTCTTTTTTGTGTCAGGAAGCACCTCCAGTACCTCCATTTAAATAAACACGTCAATTTAAATAAGCACCTCCATTAAAATAAGGTGTTGAAGGACACCAGGGAAAATCAGCATATTTTGATAGGCAGGAGTATACAACAGGTACTTAAGAATGGCAATAATACAGTGAAATTAGGAAGCAAATTACATGTGGATTTCTTTTCTCTTACTGCTACTGAGAGAAGTCTTTCTTTTGCTATTTTAAAACACAGACTTTACTGAAAAAGATTTTGTTGTTGTCATAGTAGTATTTTGTGAATGCCTAGCTACAAAACTGCTCGGTGGTGGGAGTGAAATGCAAAGGAATTGCACATGTAAATGTATATGATCACAAAGACTTGAGTATGCAAGCTTATATTCCAGATGTATGGGAAATAACTATTACAGCAGTAAGTCACAATGTTGTAAAGCATGAAACTGAAGGCTAAGTACTTGCAGCTGTCTGCAAAATGCAAACAATCGGCAATGAAAATGTGGGTCATTAATTTAATAAATCATTGGGGGGAAAAAATGGAACAGGAACGATAAACAGTTTAGTGCTGGGTTGAAAAGAGACCCTTGTGGAGGTAATCAAGATGAGGGTGGGCGATATAGAGAAATGGACAGAGGACTTCATCTCAGGAAGAATCAGCACGTGCCCAGCAGAGAGGAGGCCCTCTGCAAGGAGGTCAGAGGCACCTCGCACAGAGGAGACAATCTGTGCACTGCCTCTGTTCCCAGAGAAGATTTTGTCTTATAGGATCCATAGGGGTCACTTTGTTTGCTCATTTTTAAGGAAGAAAACTTTAAAAGCATCTGTTTGATCTTGGAATGCTGTTGAAAAGACAGATGGGCAAGAAAAGAAAGGTGAATAAGTGCCAGTTCCTTTCCATGATTTATAATTTACTAACAATGTTCTGATGGAAATTTCTTTACCAGAGAGTACCTAGATACTGTGAGGTCATTTCCATATTTACTTTTTTTTTTAATAACCAACCAAATAGATATGGGGAGACAAACTTGAGATAGCTTGGAGGTTTAGGTTGACAGAGATGTTTTTCTGAAAAATGGATTTTCGCAACAGTTATCCAATATTTAATATAGTGCTCATAACACCCTGGATCCAGATACTGCACCAAGCATAACCCACAAGCCACTACACTGACATATCTTTAGCTTGAAGGCATAAAAAGCCTCACAAAACTAAATTTAGGACCATTCATCTTTAATATCTTAAATTCGTTAAATTATAACAGGCTGTAATCATGGTCGTTTATGCCCTCCTTAAGAAAAGAGAGGTTAGTTCCAAAAGTGCTGGCAAAGAAAATCTGAAGAGTTTAAAACTTTCTTGTCAGCCATGCTAAGTGCAACTAGTCAAATAATATAAGACATGATAGATTAACATCTTTTTTCTGAATATAGCTAAGAAGTCACTCCAATGATACTTGTGGGATCATGCTACTACTTGTAAGTATTGCAGATTTGATCACACAGCTTTTGCAATAATCTCGAATCTCTTTTTCTACTGATTTTTCTGATGATTTTTCTAGTGATCACTTTCTTCAGTGAACTTCAGTTCCAGACCCACTCTTTATTTTTACATTTGATTCAAATTTTCTAACAAATAGAACAAACAGTATTACACACATGATTCTCTGTTGAACAAGTCACTGAATACAACACTTTGCAATCAGGCTTTGTGGTATAATATACATAATATACATATAAGTGCAGATAGCAGGATCAGTTTGAGAAAATAGAAGACTACCCCTACCAGGTAAGATATCCACAACCAATATTTGAATTATACCTCCTTAAATCCATGTCCTGACTGATGTGAAGAATTTTCAAACTTTTGAGCACTCTGATGAATGTAAAATGAGTGCATCTGCTTCCGTACTTCACCCCCTTAATTCCCTTTTCATACATGATATCTTGTATTCTGCGTAGTCATGCCAGTAACGCAGGCCATGTTTTAAAGGCAACTGTATTTATCTTAAATACCATCCATCAACCACAAAATGAAAGATTATATCACAGTGACAGGAATAGCAATTAAAATAATCACCATCTTTTATTAAGCTTTAAAAGTAATTAAAACTAAAATCTGTCACAGGCCTTATAAAAGTGATAATCTGTTTTTCTTTCAATTCTGCATAAATTAAACAAATATTTGCTGTTAATTAAAAACGTGGGTTTATACTTGCAT